CCCCAAAACCCCAAAACCCCAAAACCCCAAGCCCTTTAATCCATAAATTTATTTGAGAAATCATATTAAATAAATGAAATTAATCATTGGAACAACTCATTATTAAGTGATTTGAGAGCTTAATAGTTCATATTTCCCAAAAATATTAGTGCTGCGCATCTAGCTTTTCTAATATCTGGCTATTTTCCGCTATAAATCATACTGAATACTAGTATTCTGAAAATATCAATCACAATCACAAGTATTATGACAATAGCAATATTCGTTTCGATCCAGTTAAATAAATCTGTTTTAGTTAGTTCTCTCATTACAATAAATGTTACGATCATTAAAAATGCCAGGATTATTATTTGAATTATCAAGAGACAACAGCGAGAACCTTTAAAATTGTGTTCATTCTCATACAATACCTCAATATCATTAATCTCTATCGCTTAATCCTTTTTTACTTAATGCTCTAATCTCTAAGTTTGGACTTCAGGTTAAGCTCTGTGTGAGGGTAAACTTCTATGGGAATTGATGTTATCTAATTTGTCAAAATCGTTGTAGTTATCAATTGATAACTGTCTAGCCCCCATACTCATAATATTTATTGCTTCATGCGGGCCATATTTTTCATTTTACTGGAGTTTTTAATCGGACTTATCTTGGTTTGCAGTATCTTAAAGATTGATGTTAACTCCTTTATGAGTGGCGGGTGTAATTATCTTTCTCGGTGTATCAGAGAAACTACTTGGAGAGTCTTGGTTGTTATCATGATCGATTTCGATATCCAGGGGCTTGAGATGCTTTTTGCCTATTTAAGAATACTACTACAAATCAGCAAAGTTGTTTCTATTCAGATCAAGTTTGGTTTCCTCAAATCCTCTTTGTACTGTATTATTATTCAAGGAGTGCAAATCGCTTTGATTTCTGTATTACGCTTCCTGAGAAGATTAATCATATTAATCTGATTCTTCGTCTTCTAAACTTTCAGTATCTCCTCCTTCTAAATCCTATTTGTCATCTAAATACCGATTCTATCTATTCTTAAGTCTACTTGAGATATCTTATCTTTAAGTGTTCTTAGCTCTATTTCTAGAGTTAGGTGATGCTTGATTATTTTATTACTGTTAAAGCTTTCTCTTTTGCCTTTCAGTAAGTTGTTGCTGATTGTTATTATCCTTTTATGCTGGCTCTTATTCATTCTTGTAATACATCTGGTATATCAAGTAGTTATAAATTGGCTTAAAAATTGAAAATGCCACTTCTATTATTATTGCAATAATCACCACAGCAATTACATTCTTTTACTTTGGATCATTAATGGATATCACTGCTATTAGAGTTGTCAGAATTATAGCAAAAACATAGATCCATAGTGAAAGGAAGTGATAAATTTTAGGAATTGCATAGAATGAGTTCTTTAGACTAAAGAAACTTGAAAATAGTGGATGATATATTTTGAGGCAGTTCCAAAATATTTTGCAAGCAGAGTGCTGAATTCTATTCTTAATCATTACTTGCTTATCTGGCTGATACTTATGACAAAGTGCAAAAGCAATACATATCCAAGGGATTAACCCAGTAATTAGAATTGCGGCAATATATGCACCCTCATTTTCTTAGTAATATTTAGATTCATCTATTCCTTTTGGCTATTATGTGTTGTTATCTGTTTTGTTCCCATCATCAATAATTACTTTAGTCCTATCGACTCTCGTGTAAACTACTGAGAATTACGATAGGTGAGTTGATTAGCATTGAATAATATTTTCAGAAAGTTGATTTGTCTTTATACCTTAATTTGACCATTTACCAGTTCCATCCATATAATAGACACAATAGGCTTTAAAGTCAAACAATGAGCTTTTATTGTTATTGTTTTTATTAATTATAGTTTTAACATTTTGATTCAGGTAAAAATTAATGTCAAAACTTGATTGCTGATCGCTCATATTTACAGCAATAGATTTCTAACCATTATCAAAAGCAGTGATGTCTATTGATGTTTGAGCTAAAGAGCTTTCATTTAATTCTTTTTAGAAGTTTACAATTATTTGACTGATTCCTAGTTATTAAAGCAGATCTTTTGAAGGTAGATATACTTTCTCCTGATTATTAAGACCGTTAGTGATTTAAAGTTAATTTAAATTCGAATCTTATACTTTAAAAATCGTTCTGCTATTTGATTCAGTATTCACAGTTATTACTTATTCTTCTGTTTCATCTGATTTTTTAATATCATTTTAGGTAACTTGCTATGTTATCTAGGAAAGCTCTCCAAAGTATTACTGTTTATTTCCTATAGATAAATCAACTAGCTATATCTTGAGAGCTGTTTGAATATATAATACAACAGTCCTAATTAGCTCTGGATTTTCACTCTAGCTAACTAAATTATCATAATCTGTGACACAAGAATTCAAAACATTCAGACTAGACAAAGTTTTTTCCTCTACTTTTGATCCCATACCTATAAGTCTATAAATAATTAAAAGCACTCTTTTCTATATCATATGATAAGACTAAGCTGAGTCTATTGATACTGAAGGATCGAATTGTCCAAGTTATGCATCTAGGTTAAGCCTTAAATAAGCCAGTATCGCTTAAGCATAGTTACTAAAGACAAATGTCTAAGCTCCAAATACCATATCATTATCTAGCATCTCTATCAACACGCTAAGTTAAAAATAATCTGAATGAAGCACAGCTAATCCTTCTTGTGTTGTCGGGAAATTCCATGCTTTTTAGATTAATGGGAATATCTTTTTATCGAAATCGTTAAACAAATAAGAACCGGATTAATTATTTTAAGTCATATTGAGAATCACTGGATCTTGACTAAGTTCTATTGATTAAACATATACTTCACTATAATCGTAGAAATCTATAATTAAATGCTCTGTATCCGGTAAGGTAAAATTTTTATAATAGAGATTAACATATTCAGCAGTGAAAGGCTTCAATGGTATAAGAACTTATTAGTCTAAATTTGGCTTGGAATATTCTCTAAGTTAGAAATATAATCGAGAATCATATGTAAAGTTGATGAATTTAAATGTAAAGTTACTCGTATAGAATTTGAATTAATCGTCATTGCATATAATTTATACAGTACCTTAAATATTCCAATTTGTCTCTCTAGTAGGTATGAATATTTTAAGTTAGTTGAAGAATTACTAGTCAGTCATTTGCAATGTTCTTCTTGTAGAATTGACAAGTTTTACATTAATGCTAACATTTAAATAGTGACTATCAATAAGAGCAGCAGTATACGGATAAATTGTGAGAATATTATCTTAAACTTAATAATCACTATCAGAAATTAATCCATCAACAGTCCAATCATAGTTATTCCAAATTTTTGTTAAATCAACTGAAGAAGTACCACAGTCTAGTTTGAATGAATTTATTCTCTCAATTACAAATTTCCCGTTATTAAGCATTGTCTTAATTTAACAATTTCTAATTTGAGGATCATCAAAAGCAATTTATTATTAATTTGTGATATAGATACTCCAAGGAGTGGATGCTGTTCTCTTATTATCTACTGATATTACAGTTAAAGTAAATAGCTATGTCAATCCTATAGCATTTTAGAATTAATCATCACCAATGTCTGCTTTTATATCAGAAAGGGAAATATTGAATTAACATAGATTGGTTGAACAATACTTTTAATCGAATAATAGAGGGCATTACCAAGAGCAAGTAAATGATTAATTCCAAGGATCTTGAGACTTAGACCCGTCCAAAACAATGTTTTCATCAATTCCATCAAAATAGATGAATTAGCCTGAAGCTTTAGGAATGATTTTAGGTGGGTTAATTACAATGTTGACAAATGATTGATACTGATACACTTTTGTTTCAGCTCCCATTGTTAATCTTTACACAAATGAAATAACGAGAGGCTTTGATGTATAATTTTAAAGGGAAGCAGGCTAAATAATTATCTTGTATTTGCTCGAGGAGTCAGCGGACCAAAAAATATCAGATTAATTATTTGAATTTTCCCAAATTGGTTCCCTCAAATTAACACCACCATTGCAAAAAGACTTAGTGTACATTGTAATTATGGTATTGTATCTTGAATTGTAATCTATATAAATAGTGTTGTTATTTGCGTTATCAAAATGCCTATTTATAGAAGTTATTATACATTCTGAATAGTCTGATTTCTCAGTTATTTGCACTTAAATAGAATACACATCACTTTACTGATTCAAAACACTATCAGTTGCTTAGACTGTATAAATTAATGATGATCCAACAGCATTTGCACTCACTATGCTTCTGTCAGTAGCTGAAATATTTAAGATAGAGGAAGTGAACTTTGAACAGTTTTGATTGATCAATGGACAAGTCCATGTATAGTTGTATTTCTTAGCAGCAATATCAGTTTCTGAGTCAAAAGTCTTAGTAGCATTTATGATCAAATAACCAAACTTATCAACTTCAATCTCATCAAAGTCCAATTAAATAACTAGATTAGCTCTTAATCTCTGGAAATAAATGGTTTAAACATTTACAAATGTCCTTGATTATCTTTAAATTACTTAGTAAATAGAAGCATTATACATTCTTGAAGGACCAGCTTTACCTAGATTTGAAAAATCATTCAAAGATAAAGTGATATTTTAAGCTCTTGGGAAGTTGAAAGGACTCTCAATGTAGCTCAATTAAACAGGCCCTTAATTACTACTTAAAATATCATCTCCTGGGTAAAACATCAACAGTTAGCTGGTGATATTAACATTTCCGCAAGGTGATTTCTATGTTAAAATTCCATTATCAATCTTTACTGATGCATTAAATTAAACTTAAGAGTAATTAGCTCTTGTAAAAACTAAAACTCTATCAAAAGAATTATTCATCCTAAATATTGTATTATCACCTCCTAATGATAGTAGGTCAAGAGCCTCACAATTTGTAGTTTTCAGCACTATATTAGTATCTGAAGGACTAGGATTAGAAAACATCACAGGATAATCAAGAGTCTGAGCTGCTTTAAATGTGTTATCTTTAGACCAAACTGTCAATTTAAACGTGTAATTAGTATTATACTAAAATTTAGCTCTAAATCTTGTCCAAATGTCTATAACTAATTGACTACTTCTTGTTCCTGTTTACATGCTTGAGCAATTACTTATTTGAGAGGGGCAAGACCAAGAAAACCATAGTTGAGCAGTTGAGTTGTCTGGATCGTAAGACTAAAATCCATCTAACGTAACATTAGGCTCAAGGAAACCAATTTATCTGTTTGTGATAGCTTGCTTTGAAAATGAAAGCATATTTATTACTGGGACAATATTGTTTGACTTATAGGAGACATTGACAAGCTAATTAGTAAATTATATCTATGCATTTGATATAGAGGTAGCAGAGACTTGCCTTAGATTAAATGTACCATTGAAAGTAAGCACAGATCCTCCATTTAGAGCCTTTAAATTTGTGTTGTTATTCCTCAGATAGATCGACAAAGGAAGTTCAGGATCCAAATATAAAATATTGTTGAGAGTTTTCCTATTGATCTGATCATAAGTTGTCCATGAAACACTGAGAATTTCATAAAATGTTCCATAGCAGAAGAGGAAAGGCTCAGGCTTAATCTCATAGTTAAAATCATTCACTTTATCATAAGTATAGTTGCTTTTATACATTAGTTAAGGACATACTTATCTACTACTTCCATCCTTGTAAAATGTCATGTTTAAAGTAAGTAATCTTTATAGATAAGTTCCTTGGATTTTAATCAAGAAAACAAATTAATATTTTTTGCTTAATATGATATTTAAGTTGCTATATTATGCTAGATCTATTATTAAATTAGAACCACTCATTTTGCACAATTAGCTTTGCCACAGATTATCTTTAAAGATTTCAGCTGGACAAGCAACACTAAATTATGGATTAAGAGAAAATTCTGGATTAGGATCGACTTAAACATCTTTTAAGCTAATCGTGAGGCTCTCATCTATCAGTTAATTTTACATTACACTCAAAGCGTTGTTATTCATTACAATTAATTAGGAAGTGTATCTTAAATCTGCAAAATAATCCAAAGTTTGACCAGTACCGTATGTGATTCTTGCAATTAATCTAGCTGAATTTAAATCTGCTACGGTGTATTTCTAGGTTAAAGTGTATGTATTAGTAGATATATCAAAAGCTGATGAAAACGTTGGTTTTGTTAAATTATAAGACCAAGCTACTTTACTCATACTAACACTCGACACTAATCTTGATACGTTATTATAGCATTGATTATAGATTTGTGTGACTTGAAATTGAACAATGTGATTAATTTTGTTGCTTAATTGATATATGTCGTTTGTGGCAACTTCCATTTGATTCAGACTTAGCTTGAAAACAGGGCAAATAAGAGAAATGGTCTTTTAAACTGTGACTATTCTCTCAGAATAAGCAGAGTATAATCTTCCAACAATAGTAATGTTAAATAAGAGTGGATTGATTAAGGCTGTGTTTATCATAAATCCTTAGGTTTTATTAATTTCAAAAAGCTTTCTAATTTCATTATCGATATATGATTAGTTGTAGTTGTTCCCTACAGAGATAAGCTTGAAATCACCATATAAAGAATTTATTGACTGAGTTAGATTTGAATGCTTAGCAATCTATACAACTATTCTACTCAAGCTTTATGAATATGTAAAATTAAAGTCAACAAGTCCAGTTATATTATTAAATTGACAGCACATTCCGTCATAGAAATATTCCTATGGGCACACGACTAATTCACTATCTTCTTGATTATTGAATGATGATAAAGCAAGATCTTTTTCATCAAGCTATAAAGGTGTCTAAGAAGGACTCACTTGCATAGAGTCATAAAGATTTTGATAATCATACCCATCGTTTAGCCTGAAATTATGCATTAAAATTTATCTTCCAGATGAGGCAAATCCAAAGCTTCGAGCTGCATTACTGTATCTCAACATTTCGATGCTAGAGTCAGAAAGCAATTCAGCCCATAATCTAAACTCTCTGATCAACCCTATGAACTTGTTAGCTCCATTTATGTTAGATCCTAAGCTTGTATTCAGATATCCTTAGTTAGATTAGTATTGTTAAAATTCTAGAGTCGTTTGATTTGAGTACTATTATTTTTGATTATGATTATATTATATTATTCTAAGTTGGGCGATAGTAGATGTCACAGCTATATGAATCCATTAATTTTCAGTTACTACATTTTACAGCTAAAGATTTTTTGTTGAGGATGATTAGACATTTGGGGTAACTCTAAGTTACCTCACATCATCTTAAGTACCACTTAGTATGCTTATCTATGCCAATGCATTTTTACTATCTCCAGAATTTTCAAATAAAACCATAACAGTTTTGCTATTAGCTGATAACTATGAATAATCTTTAATCCACAATTCTATGGTCATGTTTTGCATTAGTGATTTCAATTAGGCAGTTAGACTAGTAGATTGTATTTGATTGGTAAAATTCGTTGCATATCTATTAGTCTTGCATGAATTGCCATAAACAAATTGTGAAGAATTATACATATCTTTCAGTGAGCACATTTGATTATTTGCTTCGAAAACCAATTTTCCAGAGGTCATATTGTTTTATTGGAAACTTGGAAAAATCAGATTCTGGGTGAATGTTCTGTAAAAAATAGTACTAGATATAGAACCATCGCTTGTAAGTGACTATATTAGCATTTAATTTAATAAGTACGAAAAGGTGACATTGACTTAGGGCATGATTGATAATTTTAAGGGCTTTCTAGTGGGTAGTATTACTGAGTGAGATAAAGTCTAAATAGCAATATCATCTACGTATAATGTAACTTTATCTATAGTAATTTGAATGCCATAAGTTCTCCATATTTGGAAATTAAATAGATGACTTGAAAAAGTTAATTAACTCGCTATCTAGGCTGCAGTATTATATAAATCTACTCTGATTCTAGTACCATTTCCGGTTAAAACTATATCAGCATATTACTGTAGCTGGTAGATTATAGAATCGCTTGTATTAGTCATATTAATAGGAAATATTTAAAAAGTAATTAGCGCACCATTTGGATCAAGACCTGCAGTAAAGGGGGACATATCTAAAATCTTAAGTTTAAAAGAATTTTAAACTCTCAAAAATGAAGGAGATGGCCTTGTACAATAGCAAACTGTTTCAATCTCATTAGAATAGTCTATTCTTACGTTTTGTTAGGTGAAATTTCTAGTAATGTTATATTTATAATCTTCTTAAAAGTTAAAATACTTTCCAAATCTAAAATAAGCAAGTATAGTTGTATCATTAGGAGAAATCATTGACTTTGCTCTTTAAGTAATGTCAAAAGAAGCATTATAACCGAAATTTTAGTAAATCAAATGCCTCATATTACCACTAAATGGTGAGTTAATTGACAAACTGTTTCCAACTATGCAATAGTCTGAATTATTAAAGACTTAGGTGGTGCTAAGTGCTATTTCAGCCCATTATATTCCATTAATATGCACTCTCAGTCGTTTATCTCTAAATGAAACTGAATAATGGTTCCAAAAGGACAATGCTTGAGATTCATTTCTAAATAGAGTTAGATTTATTGTATTATTAACTAATTACTATAAGACTACATTTTTACTATCTGTAGCATTTTAAGTTAAAACTATTTTTAACATATTGGATTCCAAACTAATGCTTAACTAATTATTGCACTCTAATATTCTCTGAGTTAAATTTGAAGTTTGTGGGACTTTAGCCCAAAACATTACAGCACCTTATGTAAGACTTTAAATACCAAAGAATGGATTTCTAAATTTGAAAAAAGAGTTCAGATTTCTATTGAATGATGCATAGTATATAAAAGGCTCAAGTTGACTATCGTAAAAAGTAGCTTTTGGGTTTGGACAAGAATTTATTTGAACTGACTGAGCATGACCAGAGTCTATGAAATGTAATGCTAGGATGAGTATTATTAATCGCAGAGCGGCAAAAGTATTTATTTTCTGATTTTAAACAGTCTTTTGCATTTTTAATTTTGAATTATAACATACTTGTTCTGATCTTATCTCATTCCAATTTCTCAGCAATAGACTCTCAGGGGTTTTGGGGTTTTGGGGTTTTGGGG